AGAAAAGAAATCCGGTTTGAAAAGCTATTTGGGCAGACTTTAACATGGTTTCTTATTGTACTTATTTTGAAAAGAAAAACTTACCGTCAATGTCGATGTAAGACCAAGTATTTAAGAAACAATCAAGTTATTTAGAAATGAATCTTATATAAGGATTTTATGTATATATACGGTATCCTAACGAAATAAATTGCCAAACTCGAACCAAAACCATTGGATTGGTCTACATAGTTTTGAAATCACTTCTACCTACAGTATTTCTATCAGAAACCTAGATTGATTGAATCAGAGATATTAGATCGAGACCGATCGAGGGTAGACATAAATTGCAACCGTATATAGAATAATAATATGATACAAAATAGCCTGAAACTAACATAGACAGTAGATTAGATGTAGATTAAACTTACCTGGAACTGCGAATATTCTCGTAGTTAATTTAATAATTAATCTACCTGAACCTAATCCCAACTGCATTGCAGAGTTTGAGTACCCCGAAATAGTTGTGTGTTGGCTGTTGGCAAACTAGAGTTGCGTGTGGTCGTACCTTTGAAGCCTGGCGTTTGAGTTGTGCTTAGACTTTATATGAAACTACTGTAATTAGTACAGGAGATCATAATATGAATGTCTATAGTTTATGCTTTCAGGGAATAATTTATAGGTTAATAAAAATTGATGTGCATAGAAGGAAAAATCCATCGAAAGACAGCTTACTCCATGGTTTGCGCCCGTGCGCAATCTCGCGTATTCGCTCGTTTTCGGCGCGACTAGTAGTAAATGTCGGAAGCAAAGTGTGCTTTACGCTGTGGGAATAATGTTATGTAAGTTTCTATTGTTATTCATCGGTTATTCGTTTTATTATGCTTCATCTCTACGCTCATATAAAGATATTTAATCTGTACTGTACAAAGAGAAACATTTTGTTTCTTTGTTACTATAGAAGATGAACTAAAGTATTTTTAACACAAACTACTAGATAATAAATTTGGCGATTCCACTGTTAGGAACGAAATATCACTATTTTTGTGACAATTAAGGAACCAAAACATCCGCTAATAAACTCGGAACGAGGCATCCGATCAATACAATATAAAATTACTCTAATCCGTAGCTCGCTTAATCCCCTAGCCAAAGTATCAGTTCGTTTGCAGTTGATCGGGCAACTATTATTATCTCCACAAAATAATCTGTGCTAAATTCAACCGTAATGTGCAGAACATACAGTTGTTTACTATACATTGATCATGTGCAAGCTCCGAGCTGTGGGTTGTTAAAAGGGTCCTTATGTTGAAGCGTGCATTGTGGGGTTGGAACTGAGGGTGAACTGTACAAAATAGAAATCTATAGGACTCATGCCTGTGGAATATATGCCTATGGAAAGTGTCGAGATTCCCGCGTGTACCGTGTTCCTTTGTTTTTTATGTGGAACGATGTCTAACCTAGTTTTCTTCAATACTAGAAACAAAGCTAATGAAATGTATGGTGTTTACCTATGTATTGTACAACAAAGCTTATAGTAGGGTCGATGATAAACAGATACCGTTGCCGGTGTACTGCAGCATACTTGCTACACCACGGGCAATTTACTCATGATAAATTTTTTATTGTAATGTACATAATCAATAAACATAAATAAAATTGGAATGTCTGTTTGAAATATTCAAGTAACCGCTTTTTACTACTTACGATACACATGTCAAAATAACTTTTTTTACAATATTTGTCTGTCTATCTGTTTGTACTGGCTAATCTCTGGAATGGATGAACCGATTTTGCAAGAGTTCTATTAGCAGATAGCTGATGTACTAAGGAGTAACATATGCTACGTTTATTTTGAAAAATTGAAACAAAAAGATATCATACTCTACGCGGACGAAGTATAAATATTATAAAGGACTTCCGACTTCCGCGCGGTTTTACACGCTCTGCTTAGCTCCTATTGGTCGTAGCGTGATGTTTTATAGCCTATTGCTATCCTCGATAAATGCACTATCCAACACAAAAAGAATTATTCCAATCAGACTTGTAGTTACGGAGATTAGCGCGTTCAAACAGACAAACAATAAAACAAACTCTTCCGATGAAAAAAATGTTCCATATTTTCTAAAGTGAAAAGAGGTTACAAAGTCATACTTTGTATTTTACCGTTTGTTTGCGATTTATTAATAACTCCAGGTAAAGCCCTACTGTTTAGTAAAAGTTGCAGTCCTTAGCGCAGTCAATGAGCAAAGGCTACGAGGTAACGTTTGTAGGTCAGTACTTACTATTTACACTTCTATTAATACTAGGGCACAACGTAGTGTTTACAGTATAATATTTAGCAGTATAACAATTTTATTCATAGAATTAAATGTTTTATTTGTCATTGGTCCAAGTTCTTTAATCGCCGTTCTAATGTATGAGGATTGATACTATATATTGTGGTAATTGCTCTTTCTTGATTAGCAACCAAGTCTCCAGGTATATAGTGGCTGTACTGAACACGTCTATACGAAGTTTCAAAATGTAATTTATAAGTTATTTGTTAATAAGGAATGTATTTGTATCAATATTATTGTGATTGTCACTTAAGTTGTATCTATTCATTTGATCATATGTATCACTAATTTATTTATCGTTGTTGTTGTTCAGTAAAAATAGTAAACAAGCGTGCGTAAATTCCGTGGCCACTGTTGTGTAGTGACAGGTCAACCCACATCTCGTATTGTTATGATATAAAGTCGTAAAAACAATGACAGAAATTCGATATCCAAACCCACATGTGGGCCTTCTGTTTGTGATTTTACCGTATAGTTAATACTCAGTACAATCATTTGACCAAAAACGAAATGTAAGCGGTTATATGAAAATACTGAACACGATTTTATGCTGTTACAATGATTGTTGATAGAGGTGGCATTTCACAGTCAATTGGCAATTAATGGTATTGGATAATTTAATCTTCAAATAATTTGGTTAAAGTGAATAAATAATGTAATATGTTGATAAAATGTTTTGCTGTGAAAGTTGGTATAATTTTGTGTGCTTGTTTTAAAATAAGTATGAACAGTTATAATATAAAAATATACTTATAATATGAAAATGAATCGCTGAATTTTTTGTTAAGCGTAAACCTCGAGAGCTAGAACTGATGTCGCTGATTCGTTTTAGGGTTAGTCATTGTAAGGAGGTTCTAGTGTAGTTAAGAAAAAAATTTAAATGTTACTATAATATAATGGAAAACTTGATTAATGTATAATGAAAATACAACTTACCCTCGTATTATTTTCTGTTCAATTTCGATGTGAGTTCACATTTTATTAAGTGTTCGTTATTTATTTCAAAAATAATGTAATTATTGTTATTATATTCTCTGTTTATTAATGTTTAATATAACTATTCCAAACATTTGGAATTATTCGATTAGTATTACAAGTAGTAGGTGTATATGTAGTTTGCATGAAACAATAATCGAATACAGCATTGATATTCATTGGCCAGTAATAACCAAATGAGTAAGTGGCAATTGATCAAACTCAATTATGACTGCAATGTGCATGGAATAACAAAACCGTACCTGGAACACTCGTGTTGGTTTAAACACACAAATATCCGAAGTTCAGTTACGCAATAATACTTATATTGATAGAAACTCAACAAAGTTTTATTTTATATCTATTATCAATAGAAATAATTTATGAGAATTTTGTCAACGTATATGAAAATACTTTTAAACTCATTATATAGTATTATTAACAAGTTGTGTGTATTCTTTTTGTAGTAATGAATGAGATGATTTGATATATCTAATAGCATAATTCCTTCTTCGTACTTTTGTATCTTTAGAACAATCATTGTGTACAGCGACAATATTATCCCAATATTAAAATATATTCTGACTTTATATTCTGACCCAAAAATAATTGCCTTTACAATAAACCCAATTGTCCAAATTTAGCTTTTATATTAGTCATTTAATTGAGTAATAAATAGTAGTAAAACATTACCAAATTAATAATCACGTAACCTATAATCTTATATTAGTAATCGTTGAACAGTGATATTAATGATTAATGTTCAATAAAGGTCTGTATTTGACGGCTATAAAGACACGTAATAGTACAATCGCACACAGTTACATTTATTACAAATTCTATTAAATTAAGCCGATATGGAATAATGAAATAATAATGTATTGTTTATGTCACTGGCAAACCTAGGCTTTGAGATATATGTGATTTCGCTCAAATCGTTGCTTGTTATGTAACATTGGCGAATATTGTTTATTAAGGCTTGGTTAGACAGTATCCTCAATAAATTTATTTTATTTTAACAAGTATGTTAACAAACGATGGTGTTATCTTGAAGCTGCTAGATGTAACTCCATTATAGTCTAAAAAGAATTTACTGAACAACTAGATCTTAGGTTGTTCCTGACACCCCAACTATCTTCTTTTGACAAAACCTATATATGATACATTTTTGAACCAGAAGAAGACGGAAAATATTGTAGACGTTGTGTTGTTTTAAAGCTTATAGGTAAAGATAGGTCCGCGTGTAGCAGTAAAAGTTATTTGATAGTTTATTTTTCCTAAACTAAAATTTTACCCATTGTATTTATTTTTATTGTGGTTCATAGATGTATTTGTATTTAGCCTTCGCCATATTACATAGCATTTTTTAATGAGAGTAATTTATGCATTGTACAGTCGTTTCAAAAAAATCCTGCAAGATAACATACGCGAGTGTAAATTGTTTTGAACAGACGCTTAGCAAAACACATCCTTAATACGCCAACGTATCGATCGTAGCTTGGAAATGTAGGGTATTGCCCGCTCTAGTTGTACGTATCCATTTAAAACAGAAATATCGCACGAATATCATAAGTTATCCATTAAAGTAAATTTTCTTCACTTACTGCTCCCAAATATTGGTTCAAGATGTTTCCGATTTTTCGTAAAGAAACCAAACCTCGTTGTGACTTAACCTAAACAGAAACACGCTTATATCTATTCACTCACCCTCACAGGTTGTAATTCGCTCCGATGTTTAATTGTATGACACAAACTTCATACCATTTCACTTGTTGGTTTAATAAACACTGTCCACCTCTTTCACTGTAATCACACAAACTATTATCAGAATTTACAAAAGCCGAAAAATTAAAGTATTACCCAGAAACACTTCAATAACAAATAATATTACACGAAATATCTTCCCGCTTTAACTTAATTCTATATTAAATTAGTATTTAAATAATTACAGCGATTCTAAGACAGGAGTCGAATATTTTAGTTTGGCGGTGTAACATATGGCCTTGATAGTACAGTAATTATAACTAGCGCAGTGTATCGGCAGGTTTCGAAGCGTCGCGTCGTTACGCCACGGTACACTATAATAACTTCAACTTTTATGAATGCTTGGGGCGCACTTGTATGGGTTTTTGCTATTGAAATTGATGGCAAAAATTGTTTTAAATATTCTGGTATTATTCACGAAAGGATTTATTCTAACATGTTTGAGCAGAAGGGATAAAGTTCACAAAATGGCTCATTTTGGCTGCGCCACTTTGTACGTCAGTGTGCGCAAGCGCGAACATTGCCTCGCCCCTGTCGTTGATCTCTCAATGAGTGACGTCACAATACTATGAGGGTAAACTTTATAGTCGTTTCTTAAATTGCTTTACCGAAGTTTTAAGGCAATTTGTCGCTGAGTATTTCTAGTATCGGCAGACGATTTTATTATTTTTTATTGAATAGACGTACAATTTTACTGCTCATGGCTGACTTATCCATAAGTTATTGTTTAGTCGTAATAGAGATAAGTTGCGCCGACTATTCATTTTTGTAGTAATATACGGTTTTGTAAAAGATAAAGTCATCACCAAATAGATCATTCAATAAAATCGGTTATGTAAACTATCAATAGTTTTATTGTATTCCTAGTTATGGTAAATAGTTCAATGAAGTAATTTGTTGATACAAAAAGGATATCACATCATATTTTTTCCGGACGAATCGTTGTGGACCTTCTGCAGGTATGTTACCGTTGCGGTTTGACCCCTGCGGCGAATACCGCCGGTTCACGTAAGTTATTTATAGGTAAATCACAAAATATAAATAGTCGCTGCAAGTTTTGATTTTCGTCATTTTTGTAAATTGTTTGTATATATATTTTTTATTTATTTGCATCTTTGGTTCAGTGGCCGTAAGATTAACGGCCGAGTAAGGGTTTCTGGGTTCGATTCCCGGGTAGGGTAAAGTGACTTTGTTTCTGTTTTTTTACGTAGTATAAAAGAGTCAGGGTATGGTTAGAAATACGGTGGTTAAAATTGGGTAGGTGTATATTTTATTAGTATTGTAGACTTATACACATACGTCATACACATATTATTTTTGCCCCTCTTTGTGGATTCGTATGGATGAATGGATGGATGGATGGTATGCGTAACATTAAGTCACATATATTATAATTTTTCCAAAATCATTAGACCGAAAGTTGGAAGTCAGTCCTGTATGTTCAGTAGTGGACGTCCTATGGCTGAGATGATGATAATGATGATAAGCCCGATATACACACAAATTCGGGACATTTAGAGAAAAAAAAGATATTACACCTAAGATTTTTTTCATTGAACATTCATTAGAAAAGATTTTAAATCATAAAAATTCAGAACAACGCCATCTAGAGAAGTTAACGTTAAGTTACTGTTTCTAGTAAAAGCCTTCTGTTACACCGCCCTATTAGACATGATTATTTTAATTGCATGTTCAATATAATGACACAAGTCTACCACGTAGTCAGTTCCCACGAAATAATTAACAGGTTATTTACTCAGTCTATATGTGTGATCAACTGTAATTAAAACGTCCCAAAGGGTAGTTCCTATTTAAGAAAATTCAATACTTTGTTTGTTCCAATTGCAAAACGACAGTTTTTATGCATTTTGTAACGTCGTCATGTTGTGCTTTGTGACACCATGTTTTCTTGCCTCGTATATTATTATGCCTATTCCTCAAACAGGAGAACAAATGAAAAAATTCTAGCACAATGCTAAAAATTAAATCAGCCAATGAGATTGGCATTATTTTTAAGGCTTTGACTGCCAATTGAAAACTGTTGAAGGCTCTTTGTACTTTATTAGTCAATTAAAACCGAGTGAAATTCACGAATGTAAGTCCCGGTGTGACTGGAAATTAGTAGAGCGTTCCCCAGTAGTCCACGAGAACAATGATTTTCTCAATTAATTATGTATCACGACAGATTTAACACAACATCCTCTAATAGATTTATTAGAGAAAAGTATTTATTTTTAGACTCTCTCGTAAGGGGTCTCGGGTTCGATTCCCGGGTCGGGCAAAGTATTATTGAATTTTTTTAATTCTCAGTAGTAGCACGGAGTTTTGAACCGTGCCCGGTATATGGCAATAGGCTCACCCCCTATTACATGGGACTCATAACATTAATAGTGAAAAGTGGGTGTTACATTGTACAGTGGTATAATGTGTACCTCTGTCTACCCCTTCGAGGATAAACGGCGTGATGTTATGATGATTATGATGATGAACTAGTTATTTTTGATTGTTGAAACCTATTACGAGTTAGCAGGTAGTAATTATTTGGCTGTAGTGAAATTGGTTGTTCATTTTACTGGGTACAATATTACGCCTAGTTTCGATTGAAAGGTTGCTATGCTATGCTATAGTAGGTAGGTAGGTACTATGTTGGTGTAGGTCATACGATAGGCTGTTTCGAAAATTTATGAACAAATTTTTATTCGAACAAAATATTACTGGAGTTTATTCGATTTTTTGTGTCATATGTAGTTTTGAATGGTATAAGATTTTATTTATACGGCTTAAAAGTCATGAAGACCGTTTAAAACACCCGCTTCTCTTGCATGAGGGTGCGGTCAACGGCAAGTACCAATGTGACTTTTTACAGTCATAATGTACTGTACTTTCTAAGATTATTCAGACATCACTGACAAACAGTGAATGAAAGTAAATATTGTGAGAAAACTTGAGCTTATAATTTCTAAATATAAGTTTGAAATCGCCAACCCATAATGAGCAAGTGTGATGATTAATGCCCAAAGGGTCAGCAGTGGCCACTTATAGGCTGTTGATGTGCAAAACCGTGAAGTGATGGCAAAGTAGAATATTTTATTTGTACCACCCCTACTCTTCCTTCGGGTGTGTTTACAGCCGGCTAAAGGACTACACATTGTGACACAGACCTGACAGAGCTGCTATCTGATAAACCTGAACCTTTTAAACTACAATCTCCAATAGGGTTGCCAAGCGAGGAGATTATAGTGAAATCTCTATATAGTAGGTACCCATATATAGCAGTCTTAATACTTATTGTGGTTGACTGAGCTCCTAGTGAAGCTGTTATTTAAAGCCTTGTTTATTTGAAATTCTCAATTTTTATGTCTTTATTCAGGTTACTCGCAAAATCTAGCTGACGGATTACAAACTGTAAGCAATGGGCGTCGCCCATGGACACTCGGAACACCAGAAGCGTTATAAGTGAGTTACTTGAGGATCGTTGGGGGTTCAGGGATTGGGGAGATTGGGAAGGGGGTAATTGGTCCTCCAGTAACCTTACTCACACGACGAAACACAACGCTAGCATTGTAGCACATCGGTTTTATGTAAGGGCGAGGTCTCACTCCTGTCGACTACTCCGGAGCGAGTTAACTAGATATAAGGATAACCGGATCAACGCGACAACAGGATGGACTGACCGATTATTCGGTGCAATAAATAGAATTAATCAACCTGTAACTAGATTGAAGATTATTAGGGTTACTGGTAACTGTTAACCAGTTTGTAATGGTCTCATTTTATATGTCCATTCCGCACATTCGTCGGTCAGTATATACTGGATTTACATAGTTGATGTACAGTCTATGTAGCCTAAATATGTTTCGGTGTTTTTTGTAAACTCAAAAATGAATCCAATGAGTGGTGAAATGTAGTACTTATAGACATTATGTGCACCACTACTTATCGCGTCAAACAGTGCTGTCTTTTGGATTTTGATATGTCCATCTTAAATGACAATCTCCTATATTCCCATTAAACATAATTATAATTTCCTAATAACATAATTATAGAACCTATCCCTTCCCTATGTCCCCATTTCGTATTCCTTCGATCTGAAATAGGCGTAATATTTTACCATGTAAATGCTATAATATAAGTGCTTAAGTAAAAATATTAAAAAGTTACGTAAAAGTTGATAATTAGACCCCATTCCGTCATTAAGTACCACACTTAGCTGCCCCAACAACGGCCATTTTACTTAAAATTACTTTTGAAGTAAACTGGGAACATATAATTACAAGGTTTCCCTTAAAACTAAGACTTAAACTAAATCTTAAAACTAAACTTTGTTAGGGCGTTGGTATAGCTTTAAATATATTGTATTTTATTTTCAAATCAATCATATTGACTTAATTATAATATAAAGTTCAATATTATTATTTAAATAAATACAATAATTTCAAAACTAACAAGCCCATTCAAAGTATTTTTTCCAACCTTGCAATTTTATAAAACCCAATTTAACTATTAATTATAAAATCTAGAACGATAGAAATACAATTTATTTAAGAATACATAATATTAATTAATAAATGAGCACTAGTGAGGTACTTGATTTAATTGTGTTCGAAAATCCCAGTGCTAATCACGTCGCCAAATAATATAATTTAGTTAAAAAGACCTATCTTCCTACAGCCAAATAACAGGAACAAACTAATTGAGAAATAGAGCAAAAGTTTTAAAAATAAACTTGCCTATTTAATGGGAACTCACCAAGTGGGTATCTTGTGCAACTGAAGAGTACAACGAGCACTAGACAACTTCGTTAAAACTTTACTAGGGTCCTCACTCACTCGCGAAGTCGCGACACAAATCTAATAAAATAAAACCATAAAATTAAAACTTTTTTTAATTGTATCAATTTTACGCGAAGTTACTTCAATTATTTAATTCACTTTTTTATTATGAAGAACTTAGCGCGATCCGCCCGGGGGTTTTAAAAGCGTATCCTAACGACGACCGTCTACCATCAGGATCCGGCAGAAACTTGGGGCTGATCTCCAGATCCGATCCGAAGCGGACACTTCGGGGCTCGGCCAATGACCTGCCGCGTCGGAGGTAGCTGATTCGCGGATACTGCGTCTCGCGTAGTGACCTGTAGAGGGCATGGAGCATGCGCAATGAAGCTCACCACGTGGTCTTTAACGTACTATAAATTGCACTGGTACCGGCAGGATTATTTTTTATAGTTTACAACTTAAACGAATGAAATTTAATTAAAAAATAATTCAGAAAGCCCTTTATTTTATGTTTTTTCATCAATGATTGCCGAATTCCATGTATTTTCCGCTTGCATCGCCGCGCGCCGGTCCACGTTTCGTCGGCTACGTTTGCCGCCATATTTTCAAATTTAAAAGTAACATCAACATTTTGGTCGAGTTGTTGTTATATTCG